CCAGCGGTGCCAGCTGCTGTGTCGCCGGGGCTACCTGAGCGCCTTCCCCCTGGGGCCGCTGGAATGCAGTCTGGAGAGGAGACGCTGGCTGTCACAGCCGCCCCAGCCCTGGGCCTGCCAACGTGAGTGACCGCGGGGATGTCTGCCCCGTACCCCGCCCCTCACACTTTCCCTGCCCGCACGGCCTTTCCCTGTGAGCCAGGGGGCATCTGATCCGGAGCAGAGAGGGGCCCGTGGGGCATCTCTGGAAGGAGCCCCTGTGCTTCCCAGACTCCTTTGCGGCTTCTCTGGAGCTGTCTGTTCCCGGAGAATGCCCTCACTTCAGGCTCTACGGGGAGGTGTTGGGGGTGGGACTGGGTCCAGCAGGTGGGGGCTCCATGGCTGTGTCAGTTACTATGGTGGGACAAGCTCTCAGCTACATGTCTGGCCCCTGAGTGGGACCTTCCACACCAGCCTCTCCCCCGGGTCCCTCTACGCCTGGCAGAGCTGTGGGCCTGTGCCCTGTTTGAATATGGGCACAGCTGCTGTCCTGTCTGCCCACTGGACCCACTTTCACGTGCACCGTCTGTGAGACGGCCCCGGGTTCTGACCGCTGGGGCCTTGGCAAAGGCTGGCGTGGGTACTCATCCAGGCAGGGCAGGGGCGGATGCTGGGGCCTGGCACGGGGTCCACCTGGGGCTGTGGAAGGGGTGTCTAGGATAGAGACCCCAAACCTCGAACTGCCACAGGCTCTGGGGAGCTGGCCGAGTGTCAATGGACAGTGTTTGTTGCAAAGCATCCTGGGATAGAGAATGCTATCCAGAAAAAGTACAAAACGTGATGTTGACACACAAGTGGATCGCCCACCTGACTGTGACCAAAGGGCCCCAGCTGAAATCCAGACCCAGCTGGGCCGGGAGCGAGGGACTTGGGAGAAGAGAGGGGTGGGCCTCGGATTCGGACGTGGGATGTAGGGCTGCTGTGTCCAGATGTGCAGGGTGTGCACTGAGCCACCTGAGAGCATGCGTTTTGTGCTGCGGAGTCTGCTCTCCACCGGCAAAGCCACACGGAGTTGCCCTGTTCGAATGCAAGATCGTGGGGGGCTTTGCCCAGAGGCTTGTCGAGGGCCCAGGATGCAGGGCAGCCAGGCGGAGAGGCCGGGGCAGGACCGCTGGCTGGGAGGGGCTCTGACTTCGGAGGGATCTGTCGCACCAGGACGTGTGTGGACTGAGGAGGACAGTGCACACGGCCGTGCTGGCGTGCTCCAGACCACAGGCAGGAGGGTTATGTTTGCAGAGGAAAAGCTAACAAAGGCAGGAAGGGATCCCACAGGTCTGTGTGCTGCGTCTGCTGACCCGACTCGTCCCTGCAGGGCCCCAGCTGTGGCAGACCCTGCAGACCCGAGCCCAGTTCCAGCTCCGGCTCCCGCCGGGCAAGATGTGCAGCGCCGACTACGCGGGGCTGCTGCTGGCCTTCCAGGCCTTCATCTCGGACGAGCTCACAGCCCGCGGCTTCTGCCAGGTCCAGGTGCGTGCCTGCCTCCCCCGCGGCGGGCCGGGGGCGGAGCTCGGGGTCCTGGGGTCCGAGAGCCTCCGGTGAACCTGAAGTTGGACACCGGATAATTTTACCCGTGGGCAGACCTAGGTTCAGGCTGAGAAAGTAAGTTGGTCAAGGCTAGTTAGGTAGCAGCAGAGGCGAGTCCAAACCCGGCTCGTCACTGGAATGACCGGCACATAGCAGTTCCTCACCGGTGACCACTGCGCGAACCCCATAGCCACCGTCACCTTCATCCAGGCATTGTGCGGGACGTGGCACAGGGTGCATGTGTGGTGCCAGTCTGTGGCGTGGCAGGTCATGTTGATGGCGTCCTGAAGCCCAGGCTGCCCCCACAGAACTGCACCCAGGTGTCCAAGCTCCTGTCGTCTCTGGGCACCCGAGCTTTGGTGGACTAACATCCCCTGGGGGTATGGAAGCTCTTGGGCTGTTACCCTTAGAAAGAGTTTGACCAGTGAGCTGGTGTTGAACCCTGGACTGTGCCCAGCACTGTCCTTGGGCCAACCAGGCCCCTCACCATCCCTCCACCCACCCTGCCCCGCAGTCACTGATGCTCAGGTTGGGAGGAGAAGCCAGGCTGGGCCTGCTGTGGGTTCCACGAGCTGGCACCCGCCCAGCTGGCGAAGCTCATGGTTGAGCCTCATGGTTTGATTCCTGGTCAGGGCCCAGGCCCAGGTTGAGGGCTCGGCCCCCAGTAGGGGGCGTGCAGGAGGCAGCCGATGAATGGTTCTCTCTCATCATTGATGTTTCTATCTCTCCCTCTCCCTTCCTCTCTGACATCAGTTAAAATGTATTAACCCCTTCCCCAACAATTTTCTTGTTAAAAACGTTTCTTTTTCAGACTAATTTTTTTATTTTGGTTCTATATAGTATTTTTGATGCTGGTTATGAAAACAGTTTGTAATTATTTTTTCTTCCCATTTTTGTGGTTAAGAATAGTATTTCCTCAGAAAGTTTCTAGATGAAATTATTTAGAATGGTACGTATGTAGCTGGTTTTTGAAGGTAAAGTTTTAGACGAGTATACTCGTCGACGACTGAAAAAAGAACAGTTTGTGAAAACGTGTATACACGTTTCTGCCGGGGAAGGGGTTAAAGAAAAGGAAATCTGGCTCCCTGCTCTGTGTTCTTGAACTGAAGGCGCCTGTCCCTGTAGGTGAAGATGGTCGGGACCCCGGTTACCGTTCCGGCCTGTGACGACTCGGCGGTGCGGGTGGAGTGTCTGACCCCGGAGCGTTTGGGAGTGAATGTCACGTGGAAGTTGCGGCTTGAGGACGTCCCGCCGGCCTCTCTCCCTGATCTGCGTGACGTCGGTATGTTTGCCTGCCTGGCTGCCTCAGACGAGCTATGCTGTCTCTGAGTCTCGGGTTCCTCATCTGTCAAAAGGAGCCGGTGGAGCATCATCCCTTCCTGTGGGGCTCTAGTGAGATATCAGCCCGGCTCCCGGGAGGAGCTAAGTATCAAACAGTGTGTAAAAACCCATACATTTCTGATCAATGGCGTACTAGCGTTCAATAATATCACCTGGTTGTGTTTCTGTGAGCATTTTCTAATTCTCCGCTGGACTTTCTGGGCAGGGAGAGGGGCTATAGGTGTGAAAAAGGGTGAGAAGGTGGGAGAGGGAGCCTCTGTTGGTTTATAATTCACGTTCTGTCCTCTCCAAATTGTGAGACATCTCAGACCACGCACACTATGTAGACCCATTGCCGTGCTCCTAGAACAGGCAGGGACATAAGGGTGGAACGTGGGGGTGGAAAGCCAGGAGAAGCAGAGGGGATGGTGTGATAGCCTGAGGGTCCGGACTGGCTGGACATGACCGCTGTCCTATGAGAGGAAACTTCTGGAAAGGTGGCCAGGGTATAACCAGAAGGGAGGCGGCATCTCTGCCATTCCTCCGTCCTCATGGCAACGATCCCCAACATCATGAATTCGGGGTCCCCTTTGTCTCCCTCTGGAAGAGCCTGGATAATGGGGCTGTGTTGGGAGCTGCAAAAGATGGGGATGATCATTCCTAGCATCAGTGAGACGACTGAGGGTTCCGGCCGCGGCTGGCTTTGCGCAGCCTGTTGGAAGCAAGTGCTCCTTGTGTGCTGGGGTCCGCCCGGCTCCAGATGGGGGCTCCTCTCCCTCCAGGAATCACTCCCGCCACCCAGAGGGGCCTCTCGGTGTGCATGGCCAGGCGGGGGCGGGGGGGGCACGGGGGGAGGCTCATTGCCTCCTGCAGGCTTTGCCTTTGCTGCAGTGGCCCCATCGCACATTCTCTCTCCGAATCCTCACCACCTGTGAGAGAGGCGCGTCCATATTGCAGATGGGAAAACCGAGGCTCAGAGGTGGTGGCTTGCCAAACGGTGCTTATCCAGACAGTGCACCTTAGACCGGTGACCGAAGTCCAGCGTGGCAGGGAGGGGGGGTCACATGAACGCCACAGGAAGGGCAGCGCCACAGACCTGGGCTGGAGGGCTCACTGGGCTTCTGACCCTGTGTGACCTTGGCCAGTCAGTCCCCCTCTCTGGACCTGTCTCTCCCGTTTTACCATGAAACACTGGACAGTGCCTGGGCCTCCTCTCGGCGTGGGTGTCTGGTGGCTCTGCCCCTGCACCCTCCCCGGGCTGGGCCGAGCACCGTGAGGTGACTCCCGCCCCACCCGTGTCTTATAGAGGAAGCCTTGGGCGAGGGCCTCGCAGGGCGCTTCGCGGATCTGATCCGAAGCGGCGAGTTCCAGCTGCATCTGGATGCCAAGACGTTCCCAGCAGACACGTCCCTCCGCTTCCTCCATGGGAACAGCGTGGGCACCTCGCCCAGGACCCGCTATGGGTGCCTGGAAGGATTCCACCCAATCTCGGCCTCCAGCGACGCCAGTCAGGACCCACTGGGGTGCGGTAGGTCCACACTCCCTGCACTGCTGCTACTGAGCTATGCGAGGCTGCGGGAAAGGCCCCCTGAGCTCGGGAGAGTGCACGTACAGAGCGCAGAATCTTTCATTTCTTTCTTTTTTTAAAAAAAATATTTTTATTGATTTCAGAGACGAAAGGAGAGGGAGAAAGAGGTAGAAACATCAATGATGAGAGAGAATCATTGATCAGCTGCCTCCTACACACCCCACACTGGGGATCGAGCCCACAACCCAGGCATGTGCCCTGATCAGGAATCGAACCGTGACCTCCTGGTTCGTAGGCCGACATTCAACCACTGAGCCACACCGGCCGGGTGAATCTTTCTTTATTCAAAAGTCTTTCAATCCCCGCCTGTGCGTGGGCAGAGTCATCGCCCTAGAGGCTCAGATGACAGGACAGAGGAAGAACCCTGAGGATGGAAATCACTCCTTTCCCTTGGACGCTGGGGTAGACTAAGAGCAGGGGGTGTGTGAAGAGGGGTGGCTTTGTGGGGACAGTGGGGACAGTGTGCACGGCCTATGTGGCTGGAGGATGAGGTGTGTGGGGAATGCGGGACACGGGGCTGGGGAGATAGGCAGCGAGAGAGTGGGAGAGGCCTTAGGGCCCGGCAAGGGGCTTAGACCATGAACGAATTTTAGATTGGAAAGTGGAGGCCACAGGGGTTTTCTGGTGATTTTCCGGCTGCGGACAGACCTATATGAAGAGGTGGCCAGGTATATTCAGAGGAGCAGGGAGTTACCTGAAGGAGGAATCCCCGTTGGTGCCGCAGACTCAAGGGTCTTGGAGAGGACCCACCTGCCAGGGGAGGATGGCGATCCCCCAGGCACGGTCTCATTCTGACTGACACACTGGCAAGCTGTGCTTCTGACCCCTGTGTGACCTTGGGCCAGTCAGCCCTCCTCTCCGGGCCCGTTTCTCCCTCTTTACATGAAACACTGGGTAGTGCCGGGGTCACCTCCCGGCGTGACTGACACAGGGTTCCTCTGGGCGGATGAGAGTGTGGCCATCAGCAATGGAGAGAAAGACACGTGCTTGCCCCGAGCACAGTCCAGAGGCGCCACTTACTGAGCATACGTGCCCTCCAGCCCAGGGCTGTGGCGCTGCCCTTCCCGTGGCCTCCATTTGGCCCCATCCCCCACCCCGTCAGTCATCAATCTAAGATTTGGGGCGGGCAGCTTGGGCTGGCGGGAAGTTTTTGTTTTCCTTTAGCCATGACTTTGGAGACCACTGGAAAAAAGCAGTCCCAGCTCCGGGGTTAAAATACTAGAAACGATCAACAGGCTGACTCATAGGAGTACCGAAACCCCGTTCTCGAGCGAGGCCCTGACTGGCTCGGGGCCGCCCGGAAAGCGCTCCCTTCAGTTCCCAGGAGGCGTCTGGGTTTCTGATTGACTCAGAAACGCCGGTGGTGAGCGTGTACCAGAGATGGGAGCTGCTAGGGCAACGCTGGCTTCACTCCAGCACGTACCGCACGGACGTCCGCACTTGCTACTTGGTCAGAGGAAGTTGGTAGCCTTGGGTGCAGGAAAGGCTTTGGTTTGCAGAGAATAGGGCTCAAGTCCAAAGTCACGCAAGTATCATGGGGAGAGGAGCTTGACCTAGTCTGCCGACCCCAAAGCTTGTGCCCCTACACTGTGCATGTCCAGCCTGTCCTTAACCTTGGGAACTGTTGCCATGGCGACCGATGGTTGGAACTCATCTTTCAGGTGGTTCTCCAGTATCACCTCTTCCCTTCATCACTAAGCTTGATCTCAGTAGCTTCAGGAACTTTGTTTGCGCTCTCGCTCTCTCTCTCTCTCTCTCTCTCCCCGCACCCAAGGATAGTCCATTGATTTTTAGAGAGAGTGGAAGAGAGAGGGAAAGACAGAGAGAAATATCGATAAGAGAAACATCGATTGGTTGCCTCCTGCATGTGCCTGATCAGGGCCGGGCCGGGGAGGAGCCTGCAACTGAGGTATATGCTCTTGACCGGAATCGAACCTGGGACCCTTTGGTCCGCAGGCCGACACTCTATGCACTGAGCCAAACTGGCTAGGTCTGTTTGGCTTTTCTCTTTCCACTCCTTGAATAATCCACACCCATCACTGCCTCAGGATGTTTGCACTTGCCTAGAATTTGTCCTTCTCGATCTCTGCCTGGGGTTACTTCTCATCACTGAAGTCACAAGTGTCACCTCTCAGGGGCCGGGCTCGCTAGCCTCCCCTCCTCCCTGCTTCGTTTCTTCCCTTCTCTGAGATTCTGGTCGGACACGCTCTCATCTGCTAGCCTGTCGCCCCCGGGGAGCAGGCACTGTCTACCTTCCCCACAGCTCACCCTGGGCTCTCAGAGCCCAGCACAGGGCGGGTCTTCAATGCACATTTGTTCTTGAGTGATGTCTCACGCTGACTCGGGGATTTCACATGCAGACCCGTGTGCTGTGAGGTCGTAACTGTGACACAAGTGTCTTACTTGACCACCACGTCCCTGTGTCTCTTTCCAGTGAAGTGTCCCGAAGGAAGCTACTCCCAGGACGAGCAGTGTGTTCCCTGTCCCGCTGGATTCTACCAGGACCAGGCTGGGAGCTTGACCTGCGCCCCGTGTCCTGAGGGCAGAACCACCATTTCCGCCGGCGCGTTCAGTCGGACTCACTGTGAGTTCTAAAGGGTCTCGCTTCGACACAGAAGCCTGCGGGGCAGTGGGGACACAGCGGGTGTCTCGGCCTTGGCGCTGTGGCCAGTTGAGGCTGGTACTTCTTCGTGTTGGGGGCTGTCCCATGTGTGGCAGGAGGTTTATGTCGCAGCTCACTGGCCCTTACCCATTAGATGACAGCAGCACGCCCCCCGCCCCACCAAATTGTGACAACCAGACATGTCGCCAGACATTGCCAGGAGCATCTTATGGGGAAAAAACTGCCCACCCTTGACAACCCTTGGGTGTGCAACGAAATAAGCAAAGAGGCCACCATCTTTGAATGGTCGCACCCCACCACGACCTAGGCCAGGCATCTTGCCTGTGCTGTCTCATTTAATCCTCCCAGTTCCCCTTCTAGGTCAACATTATAAGCCTGAACTTTTACCGATTGGAAGGTTAAGACTCAGAGAAGTCCTTCAGCCAAAGTCTGGCCTTTGATCTCGATACTGACTCGGAAACTTCTGATGTTCATGTCGGCTTTATCAGATTGGCAGGCGGGAGACGCTTTCCACCTGCAGGCATTGCCACTGTGTGGTCGTGCCCTTTCCCTTGTACGTAGGTCAGGACACTGTGTACGCATGGCCTTCCCGTAGGTCACGTGATTTCATGTGGCCCACTTAACAATCACGTGGGCGTCGCTGGGTTTCCCCTGACGAAGACTCATAGCCTGAAATTGTGTGAACGAGAGGCAAACCATTATTGCTTAAAATCTGAATAGTGTGCCCGGCCAGCGTGGCTCAGCGGTGGAGCATCGACCTATGACCCAGGAGGTCAGGGTTCGATTCCTGGTCAGGGCACATGCCTGGGTTGTGGGCTCTATCCCCAGAGTCGGGTGAACAGGAGGCAGCCGAGCAATGACTCTCCCTCATCATTGATGTTTCTTTCTCTCCCCCCCCCATTTCTCTCTGAAATAATCAAAATAAAAAATCTAGTGATAGATTTTGAAAGTAGTTAACCAAAAGAGATCAAGTCACTGCCTCTGATCAAGGCAGTTTCCTTGAGCAGAAGAGCAGTGGGAGTTCCAGGAGGTAGGAGGGATTCCTCGGCCAGGGCTCTCAAGTTCCTCTGGAGGAGAAAGTCTTCACCAGGAGGGCGGAGTCCCCGACAGGGCCCTCCTTGTGCACACGTTGATGCGTTCGCTGTGGTTGAGGGCGACCTCCTGTGTGTCACACTGCTGGAGGGATGCTCTCTTACAAGGGGGTCAGCGTCATGTACTGGCCCTTGTTAATGAGGGGGTGCTACCAAAATAGCAGGGGTGGGGGGGGCGGGGGAGAGAGCGGGAGAGAGGGAGAGAGAGGGG